CTATTTACATTCACAGACGCACACACATTTATACACACATCGGTAGGCAACTTGGGGTTAAGCGAATTGCCCAGGGGCACATTGACCTGTTTCAGCTGGAATCGAACCTACAACCTTCTGATCACTCGACTCTCCTTACAGAGCCACACTTTAAAGGAAATAAATAAATAAAGAAGATAGAAAGAAGGATGGTAGCTGTCTTTCAGTTGTGCTTCACACAAAGTTTTATTTTGCTTTTTGGGAGGGAGTTTTGGATGTTAATGCTATTCCGAACCGATTGCACTTTTTTTTTTTTTTTAACCCAAGAAGAGGCCCGTCATACATCATAAAGTGGCCTTACATCCACAAATAAGCAAGACTCGGCTCGATTCAGCTGTGGTTCTTTAAGGTGTTGCTTATGTCCTCACACAATTTGTGCATCTGGAAAAACCAAGGACCCCTCTGTCTGTAATTCTGTTGCAGCGATCTTGTTTTGTCATACAGGTGGACGGTGTGTGACAGCGCAAAATTTGGCGCATCTGAGCGGATGACTCACATTCACAAATGTTTAAAAAGTCTCACTCGTGTGTGTGCTGGTAGGCTGCATCCCTGTCACATTTTATTTTTTTTTTTTTTATTTTTTTTTTAGGTCCGTTGCAAAGCAAATCTGGTCCGGTTGAAATTCAAAACAGGTGCATAATCCCTCTCTGCTATAGGTGGAAACTAAACCATTTTTGTTACACTAGTGACACAGAAGCTTCACCAATAAAATAACCAAACCAGATGCAAGATGCATGGATATGCTCACGTGCCTACGTGTCCCCCCCGCCCCCCCACTTGCGTTAATTTGATGAGCGCAGTCACGCATTTAAATGACAAAAGCAGCCCGACCGGCGGCGCGCTTGAACTTGACCGACGGAACTGGCTGGGAAAAACTTGGCCCCCTATTTTTTTTTTTTTTTTTTTTTTTTGCTCCGCTCTTTTATGGAGAGAGGAGGCTGGCGGGACTGATGTCATCGTATTAGCATAAATTTCAGCCTGTTCCCAATTAAACCAGGAGAGCGGGGAGGCCATCAATCTGTTTTCACATGGCCGGGAATGGGCCAGCATCTCCCTCTGCAGACAGACCAACAAAGAGCCAGGAGCTGCAGCTGAACTGTGGGGTAAGCTCTGGAGTTGCTGATGTGTTCATGGCGATTTTTGAGTTGTTATTCCTTTATTTAAATTGTTTGAACATTAAACTGGGATTTTATATTTTTCTTCCCCTTACTGGCTGGTGTGAAACGTGATAGTTTGGTGTTTTGCTTTCCACCTCAACTGAAGCTTTAAAACACTTTTTTTCTGCAGCTTTAGTGCCTTTAACGATTCTTACTGACAACAACTCTATGTGGATCCAAAGAGATGCTCTAATTTTATTAAGATTTGATATTGGGGTATTGATCTGGTCTTCGATGCCTTCAGGGTGTTCAGGTAAACCTAACAGAGGAAGATTTGACTGGCAGCAGCACAACGCTGTTTGGTCTTAAAGATCTAAAACAGAGAAAACTGCTGCCTCATGTTGTGGAGACAGTTGAGTCATCTGGTTATTTGAATGCCATTTACAAGCTTTTTCCCTCTTGTTTAACTACTCTCTTTCAATAATTATGTAATTACAGATGCACCACAAGATTAGGAATAAACTCATTTGCAACTTGCCATAGCTTAAAAAACATCAGAAACGTGTTGTTGCTGGTTTTATAGGTGGATTTCGTCCACAGTACGTATGGATTATACATCTTCATGCAATTTAATTTCAGTCCATCTCAAAGTTTCTGTAATTGCACTCGAATGGTCATCTCCAACATGCCGAATGAGCTGCAGCTCTGAAGCGCAGGGTTCTGATTTGGGAGCATGACAGAGGGAGGGACAAATATTGGCACCCTGTTGGTTTCTCATGCCTGACCTTTGACATCTTCATGCCCCTGTGTCAGGTCAGACCTCTTTGAAGATCAGTCATTACAATTCCCAAAAGTGGCCACTTGAATTGGTCAGTTATTGGCAACTGAAGGCAACAGAGCTCACTTAGGTCATAGATGGTGGTGGTGATTTAAGCAGAACAAGAATAAATTCTTGCAGAAAGCAGTGGATTTGTTTTCTGATAAGAAAGATTAGGATCTTAAGAATTTATGCCACGTCTTCTATTTATGTTTGTCATGTCTTATTTATCTTCCATATGTAGAAAAGAATAATAATACCATACTTTTACATTTTATTTCACAATGTGCATATAGCTGAATAACGTTATTATTATTATTATTATTATTATTATTATTATTATTATTATTCAAGTACAAATTCATTAAAGTGCAATTTATTGTAGCATTAAATTCAGTAAAATCTGCATATTAAAAATCTATTTAATTAATTCAAATTAATTAAACATGAAAATCCAACGTTTTTATCCTGAAGTCTTGAAATATATTTTTCAAAGAATAAACAACGTTCCTTTTGAAGCTGATTTGTTGCAAAATCATTTTTATGCAATAAATAAGAGATAAGTAGGCATTTCCATATTTGCACATGTATGTATTTAAAATGCAGCCTTACATTTTGTAATGTATTTCTTCAAGATTGCCTTTTCAACAAATGAAATATTATGCTTCTAGACAATTGTCGTTTTCAGCTCTGGGTGAACTGTCAATCCAAAACGCACGTTGTCAATGAATTTGCTTTCCATAAATATAACATTTCAAACAAAGATAAATAAATGCCAAACCTTAATAAGCTTCACGTGTAAACGTTTAACGATCAAATCTCGCGATAAAATGTTCATAATAATTCCATTAAGATTTCAATCGAGTTCTTTGTCATGTTAGTTGTTGTATGCAAGTTACAAGTGTGAAGTAATGTAATGAATATAATGGAAAATGTATGCAATTTTGTTGCATTAATATTATTGTTGTTATTGTTATGACTGTTATTTTTAAATAAATCCCAACAAAAACAAACGAAACTCATTTCATAAAACCCAAACGGCTGCTATGCATTTGTTATAGACATATATAAATATTATCCTATTCAAATCCCCCGCTAATTCATACAAGTTTATTCTAACTCGTAGGCTTTTGGAACCAGACCAGTTTGGGATGATAAAGCAGATTAATTTTCACAAAACTGAGCAGAATAAAAAGCGCTTTTACAAACATTAATGCATGCAACATGTCAGGCCGTTTTTTCCGTTCACACACAGTCACTTTACCTGCGGCAATGCCTTGTTTTGATACATTTAAAAGCCTTCATTTGGATGCTTTATTTACATTGCATCATTATTAATGACATTTTCTGGCGCTTAGGGTAATTTTATTTTATTTTATTTTTTTAAAGTGCTGTAGCTTCAGGCCGGGCATTTTATCTGTGCAGGCCCGACAGTTTCCGCAGTACCACCTCTCTGCCAGTAGGTGCCGTAGTTTTACACCAAAGATTGACGTTACTTCCCAGAATGTGTTCGGCAAAAAGGCCTCCGAAAGGCTAAGAGAGTATACATTGATGTTTACATTAGTATTCATCATCATGGTCTATATGTACATAGTTAAAAATGATTTTTTTTCTGTGAATTAACAAACTTCGACCTTTGAAGAGATAGAGAATAAAAACATATCAAATTAGATTTAAAAAAATTAAATAAAGCAAAACTTTTTAAATCTGAGATCCTCTTTGTTGTTTTGTCTTCATATTGAAATAAATTAAATAGGCTTACGTTTTAATGTTGGCCTAATTCATGTGTCATATCGCTTCCCAAGAAGTGACATCTTGCAAACATTCCACAATAACCAACAGATGTTTTGACTACTTTGCCTGGAAAATGATAATATGCATTGACTAATTTTCAAAGGAGAACTACTAAAACATGAATGATTAGGGCTGTTGGAGAGAGACAATGAAAGCTGTTCTGAATCCAGTGGCACAAGGAGGTGCAAGGTGAGGGAGGTTGCAGGGCATACCCAAGCTTTACCCATGTCATTTTAAATCTGAGTTGCGGGACATTTATTTACTGTGACTTCAATCGAGTTCTTTGTAACATGTCAGTTTTGGAAATGTGTCCATCACTCCCGGCCCAGCCCCCTCGCCTTACCCCGGATAAGGAAGCAGAACAATACAACTCTTGAAGCTCTGGTGATGGCACACTATTGTTAATAAGTTTCTGGAAGTGTCCCTGTGTACATTCTGTATTTTAACCTCCAAATTTGAAAAAGAGACAGAGAGAAAGACAGAAAGAAACGCAACATTTAATATTTTCTTTAAAATAGTGTTGTAGAAATTAAAACATTATAAACGTCCCAGCCCCTCTGTGTTATGGATATCCCACACACATACTAACTCTTTGGGTAACACATTTGGAATAACATATCCCGGCGCACGCGCTATCCCTTACGTCAGCACGCAGCTTAACACGTCAATTTTTTAGTGGCGCACCTGCTTTTCTCTCTCTCTCTCTGTCTTCTTCTTCTGCTGCTTTTTACGACGCATTCATGCTGCTTTCTTTGCCTCTTCTAAAGATGAATGCCGGTTTTTGGAATATAATGGTTTAATTTGGTGTATTTTTTAACACCTCTCTCGAAAGTCGAGATTTAGACGCGAGTGCCCGCCGTGCGTCCTGCTAGTTACGTCGCACCGCGTAAAGCAGCGTGACCCGCTGGAGCTCAGTGTAGAGGCATCGGCATCTGCTGGCAGCTGCCGAGGTTGCCGCTGCGACATCAGCCGCGCGCGCACCGCCGCTGCGTGCTCCGCATTTAACCCTCTCCACTTCAGATTGCTCGATAACAGCGCATCCTTCCTGCGGTTCGCGCTAGTAGCTACACGGGAACTATACAGCGCTTAAACGCGCAGCCGCTTTGCTGCTGCTGCTGGAGGCGTTCTCATTCGCTCTCTCCTCCTTTCTCTCTTACGACGCTGGCACAGGTGCCTCAGAGAAGAGACATGCATCATGCATGCAGGTGTGGGGACCACTCATTCAAGGTGCCGTGGTGTTTTTTTTTTTTTGTTTTTTTTGCCATTTGGATCTTTTGCTATGGAGAAAGAGGATACACGATAAGATGTGAGGGCTTCGTTTTTGTAGCGCATAAACCACATCTGCGAAAGTGCGCCTCTTCATCAAAGTGTGGAGATTCTTGATGCCCTCCTCCCTATCATGTAGGATAAAAAAAAAGCGGGGGAGAAAAAAACCTACGGACGTGAGTTGGCATGAATGTGTGTGTCTGGAAAAAAAAAAAAAAAAAGGAGTCCCGGGGCTTTGTCCTCCACGTCTCTCTGCGTCCCGTAACTGCCACGCAGAGAGAGAGAGAGAGGGCTGCACGTGGCGCAGCACGTCTGTGAGATGCTGGAAACCACGCGAGGACAAGGAGATCCAACTCCAACCGTGGGGAATCACGGCGGTCCGGGAATACTGCGTTGCTGTTGCGTTGCTGTGCGGGTCGTGCAAGAACATGGTGCAGCTGCGGCCGCTTTGAGTGCGTGTTTTGGGGGAGAGAGAGAGAGAGAAAGAGAGAGAGAGAGAGAGAGAGAGAGACCAACGACACTGCAGCTTCCTCTATTCTGTCATCCAAGGGTAGTGAGGAGATGTTGAGACAGTGAAGTGGTCGCTGCATGTTTATTTTCTCTCGTTTTTAAACTTTTTTTTTTTTCTGCATGGGATCCACTTTTGTACCGCTTTGAAGAGACGCGTATCACTGGGGTTTGCCCCCTGGACTTTTGGGGCTTTTGGTAATGCGAGGTTGCTCTTGACTGAGAGATCCACCCGTAGAAACTTGCCTTAAAATTCTGAAAGGACTTCAACCGGAGATGCGGGATTTATTCGCTTTTTATTGCTTGTAAGTATTCCTCACATAAGTCTTGTTAAAGATTAACTCAATTTGTCCGACGACAACAACAACAACAACAACAATAATAATAATAATAATAATAATAATAATAATAATAATAATAATGATAATTTCCTGTGGGTTAAAGTGTGCCTCTGAAAGGGGCGATATGTCAGGTGTGCTGAGACCCGGACTGATGAGTGGCAGCCCGGCTGTTCCGTCCCACCTTGAGCGCAGCTGAGGCGGGCTGAGCTGAGTGGCCCCGGAGCTGCGCGGCGCTTAGAAAGCAAACAGTTGTGTGATTGTTAGCAGAGCCTGGGAAAATGTCCCCTCGGCTGGGAGGTGGAGGGACTTGACGCCAGAGCCCCTTGTTAAGAAGACTTGTGTGTGCTCCCAGACAGCATTGTAATGATAATGAGCACCAGCACGCTGTTGAACTTGATGTTGACTTTTTTCTTTCTATTATCGGACGATTTCGCCCCCCCCGCCCCTTTCTTTTTACCCCCCTGTTCTTTCTTTCCATTCTTTTTCTTTCTTTCTTTCTTTCTTTCTTTCTTTCTTTCTTTCTTTCTTTCTTTCTTTCTTTCTTTCTTTCTTTCTTTCTTTTTTTTTTTTTATAATTACCTTGTTTGTGGGAAAATGTTCTCCGGAGCAACCGTGTGAAATTAATTGATAAGACCACTGAAGCTGAAAAAAAAAATATTGCCATTAACTTTTAAAAGTACTAATACAGTTTTTATATCATTTTTTCCCATTTTAAAATTAGTTTAAATAATAACATGAATTTAAATGATTATTTGTATGCAATAAGCATTAATGTATATACTTACAGTTAAACTTTCAGCAAAAACTAAAGTTTTGTACTTTCTCTATTACTCTTGGTAGATAAAAGGAAATTATTTCAGAAATAAATCACAGTTTGAAGAAAGTTACACTGAAAAGTACAATTTTAAATCTCCATTTATTTCTTTATTTAATTATTTATTTATTTTATCCTTCTTTCTTTCATCCTTTCTCTGTTCTACTTTTCTTCCTTTCTTTCTCTCTTTCTTTCCTTCCTTTCTCTGTTTCTTTCCTGCCTGTCTTTCTTCCTTTCTTTCACCATGCAACAAGTACAGGCCTGGTGTGATTGCAATGCTATTACTGTGTAGCTAGCTACAGTGCAATAAATTTGAACTCAATGCAGCTGCAGACAAAACAAACAATTCGGCACTTTTTGCATTAAAAACGGTTAGATGTGTTTTTATAGAAATTGAGAGCTCCACTTTGCGTTTCCTTTCCTTATTCAACCAGTCCAACCAGGAAATGTTAAAGTCCAAAATGTGGCAAAAAATAGCACGTTATAAAATCATATTTTAAAAATATAAAACCTTTTTTTTTTCAGATTAAAAATGAGCAGCAACTGTACCTCTGAAAGAATGCTAAAGTTAAGACTTATTGAAATAGTTTTTTTTTTTTTTTTCATTTTTCTTTAGGCTAACAAATAGACACCTTATGCGTTTTGGTTGGGTCCTCATTTGAATACAGTAACGACGCATAAAACAAAAAACAATGTAAAATAATGGTATTTTTTCCTATTCCAAAAATCCAAACCGGCAATTACATATGATCTGAATAGAGTTCAGTTATGTTAAAGCTTTTTGAACAAACTCAAAGGTTCACTCTTTTTTCTTTCTTTTTTTTATTATTTATTTATTTGTATTTTTGGTCACCCATCATCCAAATAGCAAATATAATTTCGTTCGTTTCAGCACCATAGACAGAGATGTTGCTTTCTTCCGTCCGAGCGCCAACGTCGACGAAATGCAGTCTTATTATCCTTAAAATAGCGATATTTTTGCATTCCGTAACATTTTGGTATATTACATTTATATGTTTGTTAGATTTCAGTAGGATTTGTTGTTATTTCCCCCCACCCCCAGGACACGGCATTCAATTCACAGAGCAAGAACAAAACTTGTCTACGGGTATTTTTTATTTTATTTATTTATTTATTTATTTATTTTTTTTTTTTTTTAAAGTACCCAAATAAGGAAAATAGGTTAGCTCGCTAGAACGAAATAGGCTGGAATAAAGCTTACAGGCTTACCTTGGTTGGATGGCTTACGGTATTTATATGTGGTAGGACGTGACGCACCCAGGGGGCGTGTTCAGCTGATGAGAGGAAGAACCAAGTCAATCTGCATTAACGTACTGTACGTTCACTTTGCGCCGCGGGCAAAGAAAAAAACATCTCTCTACCTCTCTCTTTCTTTCCCTTTCCCTCTCTCTTCCTCACTCACACACACACACACACACACACACACACACACACACACGCGCACACACACAGATCTTACAGTAGGTTTACAACGTTAAGTTTGCCCCCTGCTATGTATGCATAGCTCGTGTTTTTAAAATTTGTGCTTTAGATAAATTGTAGCAAAATAAGAAAAAAAAATTATTATTATGAAATGATTCATTGAATGTTATTTCAAGTGTGAGAAAAGAAATTTTACTGCAAGCCTCAATGTCTTAAAGGGGAGATTATGAAAAAAATGAATGCGTGTGGGAAGGCAGTCGTCTTTTTTCTTTTTTCTTTTTTTTTTTTTACTTTGTGAGATATTTTACTTTTAAAGAATGAAAATAACAGCCACCTTAATTTACCTATTTCATTTATGTATTTTTAAATGATTCATTTAGACAATTACCCACACACAGAACGATAGTGGCAGGGGAGCTTAAATTTCAACTGGGTGGTTTTACCAACCACACAAATTGAGATGAATGCAAGGCAAAACTTATTTTGCGCTCAGATTCTGCTATAATTGCCTGGATTTTATTGTTATTACTATGACAGTGTTAGAAGAATCGTGGATCTGTTGAGGCTGTTGTCCGCAAGCCTTCAAATATACCCTCAGATATTCTCTTTGAAAATATTATTCAGAACAACGACTGAAATTGCTCAGATGGGTTGTCAGGACAGAAATGAAATGATTTGTGACCAAACTGTTATTATTATTTATTAAAAAAAAAAAAAAAACCCTGAGCACCTTCTCGTAGCATCCACTTGTCAGCAGCAATTCTTTTTTTCTTTTTCACACCTATAATCACATTTTAATAATAATAAAAAATAATAATAATATTCATATGCAGGGCGAGACATGGCCACTTTATAGAGCAGTCATAAAGTGACCATGTGGTTATTATGCCGCTGTAACTCGCCGCTGGGGGCCAGATGTTACCGATGTTTCTCATTGGGCCAAGCAGACACATAACATACAGAGATACAACTAAATGAACTTTTAAGGAGCTCATGATGAGATGCAGCAGAACTAGGCTGCATAGATAGATAGATAGATAGATAGATAGATAGATAGATAGATAGATAGATAGATAGATAGATAGATAGATAGATAGATAGATAGATAGATAGATAGATAGATAGATAGATAGATAGATAGATAGATAGATAGATAGATAGATAGATCACCTTCTAATTTGGGATCCATGTTCAGGTGGGTTGTCCTGTTTCGAACCCATCCACGTGTTTGCGTCAGTAAGCACGCCTAATTCGCAGCAGCACCGTGTCTGTCCCTCGGCAGTGTGCACCCCTTACACCCCCCTCGCCCCCCTCTCCTGACCCCTGCCGTGGGGAGCACCAAGCGGCCCTGTGCCACATCTGACTCACTCAAAGCCTCTTATTTCCTCAACGCTCGCTGCATATTTCCCCCATCTTATGTGCGTGTTGTTTCCACGCACGGAGAGACGGTGCGCGCTGCTCTGTGTAAGCCGGCGCTTTGTCTTCACGTGCCGGCCGTCAGCCCACGTGGTAACCAAGACGCGCAGCGTCATGGGTGCAGGGAGTGATGCCCCTAAACCGAGCTAAGACCCTTCAGAAAAAAGAATTGCTGGGAAAGCACATTGACTGGAAGCTCTTTTCCATAAACAATTAAGTCTTGTGAGGGTTTTCGCTTTTAATTGTCATTTACTTGTTTTATTTATTTATTTTTTCCTGAGAATAGGTTATAAATTGTTAGGCACGTTCTCAGCAAACATGTTTTAACAAACCTACTAAACGATAAAACCATGTGGTTAAATCAACGACTTTAATTCATCTTTATTCATCATGTTTATTCATCTAAACTCTTAAACTATTAAAATAGTCACAACGTGGCTATGTTGTCACTTTACGTCACCGTGCTGTTAAAGTACGTCGCATTCCATAGTAAATTTATGTATTTCAAATTGCAGCCTATATAGAAAAACGACATCTTTACTATTCTTCAGATTTTCTTGACTTAAGTGGAATTTTTTGGATTGCCTCTCTTTAATCTTTATAGTAGCTAAAACATATTTTAAAAATATTGTTCGTATTATAGCATGAATTACAGAAACAATTTCTGCTAGTTTGTTCTTTATATTTTATTTAACAGCAGTCTTTGTTATGTGCACAGTGCTGTTGACCTACTTTGCCTTAGTTGTATATTAACGCTAATGCGCAATTAAATGTAGGAGCTGCTTATTATCAGTGAGGTTCTGGTAGGCTAACAATTTACATCAGAGTATCGTATTGTCATTGCAAGTTGTTCTGAAAAGTGTTTAAAGCAAGCAGGAACTTTTTAATTAGGTTGCTCAGATGATATCTTGGGGTGAAAACAAGTCAGTGTAGAACTTATTATTCTTATTTTTAAATTACTTTTATATATGAATGTGACAAATTCTCCAAAGTAAGGAATAGAAAACATGCATAAATGTGTTATTAGATTGAAACAAATCAAGGAAATAAATAACATTTTTATAAACAAAATAAACAAAACCCTTTACACCCCCACGCCACACCCCGGCGGTGCCCCTGGAAACAACCAAAACAAAACAAAAAAAAAAAAAAAAAAAAAAAAAAAAAAAAAAAAAAAAACCCCAAAAAAAAAAATTTTCAGAAAAAACCCCCCTTTTTTTTATATCTTTTGTTTT